TCTCAGTGGAAATTGTTTCATCAGAAAAGACAATATTTTCAAAAGCAAAAGATTACACTAAAAAAGAGAAAACTGAGACTGTTTGGGTTTGGTTTCTTTTTTACTTTGAAAAAGTATAAACATTTTAAAATGTTAAAGGTGAAAAATTTTTACCTGCCAAAATATTCCTTGTTTAAAGCTCCTACATCTGGGCTAGGAATACTAGTAAATATTTAAAAATAAGAAAAGAGGCTTTGGAAGATAAAAGCCAAAAGAAAACAACAGCTTCATTTTTCTTTGGGTTCTGTACTTTTTTTCACCTCACACTTCATTCCAGCTCCAGCTCAGATAAATTTTGTAGACACTTGCAAGTTTTTCAAGGAAAATCCATCTCAGATGCAACAACCAGTAGCCAATTAATTATGAAGTGATCCTTTCCAGGAGAAAACCCAAGCACAAGTTCAGCAACCAAAGAACGTTACTGCCTTGGCATGTGCCAAAACAACATTCCTAGACTTTTTACCTAAAAGATCACACATCTTTTCTGAAAAAGTAAAATGACAAAAGGCCACCATGTATCTCACTATGAGCTCTAACTGGGAAAGGAGATGATAATGACATGCTCCAATAATCACAATTTTACTGTTTGTTACTTCCATCATTTTCACTGAAGATACTGATAATACAAGCCAGGTCCCAGCTGTTCCTGGGGACCAGCATGAGCTGGAGTTGACACCTTTCACTGTCTTTCAGACGGTTGGTGGTCCACAGACTCTTGATGTAGGGAGGTCTTGCTTCTGATTTTACTCCTTTATCACACAGTTTCCCCACTTCTGATACAGGAAGGACAGCCTCACCCACTGTTGCTATCAGTTACTGCTCCAAAGAGTGATCCTCCCCTTCCAAGAAGAGTCATGCATCACCTGGCTGTGCCAGAGCTGAGAAAGTCCTTCTCTTGCTGGTGGCTGCAAGCAACCATAAGCCACATCCTCTACTTCCCCAGGGTGAACCAGCAAACTCTTCACTCTGAGGTAAGTCTGGTCTATATGCACAAGGATAACACAGAATTGCTCTGATGTATTCCCAAAGACAGCCATTGCCCTTTCATTAAGTTCCTTGGAAATAAAACTAAGCTGAATTGACAGCTTTGGTACCAAGGGAAGAAAATCCATGGTTCAGTTAAAGAAGAGAGGGAGGGGAGTAGATTCAATGGAACATTATTAAGCTCTTTCTTTCTTTTTTTTTTTTTTTAAACAAGAAATGTTTGGAATTGGGTTTACAATTCTCCTGCTGTTCTAATTTTAAATATTTCCTTTACATCACTGAAAAGAAAACTTGGATTTAGTAAATCCAGTGTGTGAAAGGTCCTTTGGGCTGGTAATAAGACTTTCGAAGTTGCAGAAATCAGTCTGTGAAAAGATGTTCACTGGGCCCGTTAATGTGGAGTGTCTCTTCAAAAGGGAAGGCTGACTTGGCTACAGGAAAGTAATTCCTTCTCTTGCTCAGATAAGGCTTTGATCTTTTTTAATACAATCCTGAACCTTACAAAGCCATTTCTAGTAATTGCAATCCTTGAATAGTACACTGACCTTTCATATTTTAAAGATACAGCCCTAAAAATAACTTCATTTTTAGAAGCAACCTTATCTTTGCAGTTCTGTGGCACTATCAATGTGCTTTGTCACTTCTTAGTTCAAAACGTTGTCAAGATGAAGGTGGCTTCACTCAGCATAATGAGAAAAAGGCTGTTTATTTGTCCTCTCCATAACTATTTCTGCGTACTTCTTCGTAGCTTTATTTACCTATCAAAACCACCATGATTCTTGTTTCTTGCCTTCAAAGACAGCCTACACTTGCAATTTTGGATAAGCATTAAGTGAAGACTTCGAGAGCAGCTATTTTAGAAGCAAAACAGTGCAGGAAAAAACGTACTTAAAAAGCTCAAAGGCAATGAGATTCTTGTTTTCTAATTTGGGAAGTTATTAGATACACCTTTCATATTGTTAGCAAAGGCAGAGGGTCTGCTTGTTCAAAGAGCTCTCAGACGAGCTGGAGGGATGTCAGGAGGGATGGTGCTCTGGTGCTGCCAGTTTCACTGCAGGGAAGTCTGATTTGCCAGCAAAGGTCTGGTCATAGTGGAGCTGAGCTCCTCCAAAGCTCCTTCTCCCAACCTGTTTCCACACAGCCCAAATGTGACCTGGGTGGTAAAGACTGGGGTCAGTATGGTGTCAGCTAATGTGGCTGTTACATGCACTAGTTTTGTATCTTTTACACAATACCCTTCAATACCTTATTCCAAGTCATCATCCCTACCATTGGGTCATCTTCTTATCTCCAGCCTAGAAGCTGACAGCATCCCTACCAAACTTCCAAGCCTCTCTGCTATATAGATGGTTGTGATGAAAATGGACAATGGGCTAGTACAGAAACATAAGACTTCGTCTGAAACTCAGAATAATTTCAGTCTTTGGGATGTGGCTTAGTTTTCTCAAACTGAGAAAACATGAAAAGCCCAGATCACTTGTAAAATTGTATCAACTTCATTAACAACTTGCAGGCTATGCAGATCCTGTTTGAACAGAGATGATCAGTAAATGAGGGTTCAAGTGTTTTCAGTAAAACTCCATAAGGTTTCTAAAAGGCTGTGAATAATGTCAATTGTAAATTCTTTACGGCAATGGCAATGAACAAATAATAAACCCAGTGATGAACAAAAGTGTACATTTCTCTAAGGATCCATGCATCAATTTTTTATGGTGGCAAGTATTTATATAGCTGATGAAATGAAGAACATATGTACAGGGAAAATGACAAGATAAAGCTTCATGTCTTGTGTAACCCTGAGTTTGCTAATGCAAAGCCAAGAAATATTTCAGTAAAAGCCTGTGCATTTGTCCAGAGAAAGTTTTCAGAAAGAAGTTTTATATCAAATTCTCAGGGACTTTTGCCTAGAGCTGATAATGGCTGCATTTATGGCTATTACTGTCAAGAAAGCTTCTTTCATTTGAAAATCATTTGAAAGTGAGGAGAAAGAGCTGAACTGAGTTCAGATGAAAGAAAGGCTGTTTTCAGCAACAAGGTGCAGCTGGTATCTGCAGTGGTAGACGGATAGTGTGACAGGGTAGGAAGCCCGCATGGACCTAACAGGGACAAAAGTGAATGCTGAAAGGAGAATTGTTTCTCTCAGGTGCTTCAAAAAAAGAAAAGCTTCCCATCAGTTGCCACACACTGCACATATCAGAGCTATTAGTGACCTCCAGCTGCAGTCACTGAGGGAGGGCTGAATACCTTATGCTGCTGCTGGATCCCTGCCATTGCACACAGCCCATCTTTTCTCATGGGCCCCCCAGGAAACCTGCTACATGTGCTCGCCTGGCTTCTTCTTTTTCATTTTATAGTGCCCTGCTGAGGACTAGACAGCCCTGTTAAATATTTGACATAAGACCAACTAGGAAAAAACTCTACTGTCTTTCCAAAAGCAATAAAAGGACACATGCAGGGATGAGAGGATGGGGGAGGAAGCAGAGACATTTAAACCACCAGGTCATCTCCAGACTCCTAGAACTGCTCAATCCAGGCTCCTGATGCTCTTTGCATGAGGCTTCTCCAACACCCTGGCCACTTACAGCATGAGCAGAGGGAACAGGTGAATGGGTTATTGTTGCAGCCCCAAAGCAGAGGTCCTGCCTGATGGGGCTGTGGCAGGACATGTCCTCTGCTGGGTCAGGCCTCAGGCTCCAACCCCTCCCTCTGAGGTCCCCAGCCATAAAGAATACTGCTACCTCTCTGGAAGGGATTTAGCAAGACAGACACAAGCCACTTTAATCAAAACACCACCCAAGTGAGACCCTCTGATTAGAAAAAGAGGGTGAGAAAGAGAAACACAGCACAAGCAAAGCCCCAGTGTCAGGTTTTTCGCCGGCATCAGAAAAAGGGAACAACTGAAATAAGCTGTTTCAAGTACTTGCCAGTGGCCTAGGTGGTTTGAACAACCTTCCTGAAAAAAAGAGAAACATAAAGCCCATTGGCATTGTGGTCTTATGGTGTTCCTGAAAATCTTCCTTTTACTTGGTCTGTTTGGGTGCCCTGCTATTTTGTAGTGATGCCGTGTCGTTAAGATAAGATGCAAACATAGCTAAAACAATCTTTTTCTCCAGACTAACTAGATTTACTTGCTGACTTGTAAACCAATTTGAAATAATAAGACTTGAAGAGCAGCTTTATCAGAATGACAATTTATGACTTTTCCAGATGTGTTTTGATATCCTTATATGAATTCTACCTAAGCCTTGATGTTTCAAGATTAAGCCATTACTTCTATAAGAAATGATCTGCCTGCCTTCAGGTTATTTTATGTGCTGACTGTTGCCATTGCCAAGAGTCAAACTATGAGGAGCTGAATAATGCCTCTATAGAAAGGGTATTTATAATTTTCATCATTAGGTATCCATTATAACTATGTCTGAGTCTCACCTAAGAGTTCGCCCCTAAACCAGAGCCAAAATACCCCCCACATTTGCAAAGAAACATCCCTTGCCCCAAGTAGTTTTTCTGTTACCAAGGTGGAAAAAATTACTATCAAATTAACTGGCACCAACAGCGTGGAATAAAGGCTGACCTGATTGTTCAGTGTGGAAAGAAAAACTTTTATTTTCTATGAAAAATGAAGGCCTTCTTCTTTTCATTTATATGACATTTTACAGTCCCCTTCTTTCATTCTACCTCCAGTGTTAGAGTGCTCTGAAGGCTGTGATTTCAGCATACAAATAGCCATCTTAAAACAAACAAATCTGTGAATCGAAAGAACAGCTACAATGCAGACAAAAAGTTGCCTTGTAAAAAAAGCAATGGACTAAAGTGATTCTGTGTAAAATTAACCCAGCTGCCCCCCATGACTACAGCAGAAATAAAATGCCATGCATGGAAGACAAGTTACAAAAGATGGAAAACCATGTCACCATGTGGCTGAGAACAATATATATTATCCCGAAACAGTGATAATTCAGATGGAGACAGCAGCCTGTATGAGTCAGAAAAGTTTTATCTGAATACATCTAAAATAGGAAAAAACACCAATTAAATACAAATAACAAGGAACTTAAGAGATGAAGCAAACTCGCCTGACTGCATCCAAACTTTGGCAATATTTAAACTGGTTACTAATCTCTGGGTTGCGTCCAGCTTCACAGTCAAATCATAAATCTTCACAGGACCAGAGGAGAAGAAAATTAAGATGTTCTGAAATTTTGGGACAGAAAATATAGCAAGAAGTGCAACCAATCTGAAGGAAAGCTCAAATCCCCAAATTTACACTGGCAGCCAGACGAAAAACTGATTATAGATCAGCAGATAACCAGGAATGATAAGGATTGTAGAATTTTTTTAACAGATCTGCTGTTAAAAACCAAACCTGATCTTTTACCCTTGCACTAGAAGAGTTCGACAAAAATTATCATTGAAATATAATCCTAAAATGGCAAAAGCACTGCAACTTAAAAATGTTTCGGTTTACACATTTCAAACATTAGAATAGTTTTAGTTTAAACAACCTCACTGAAGGTTCACCCACAGTCTTTGCACAAAGAAAGCATCAAGCATCCCAGTGACAATTCCTATCATATGTGATAGAAGAATAACCCAAACGTTAGAACAGAAGACTTCCTTTTTGGAATGTTTTCATACCAAATTGTTGAACTGTGACAAGAAAAAGAGAAACCTAGTTACCTTTTCCAAAGCTGCATACCCAGATTTGTACACAGGCAACTGTCTGTAGCTGTCCTAGTTTAGGTTTCAATGGTTGTGTGCAATGCACAGAAGCAATGCATTTCAGTGGCCATCAGTCAGGCTGGTGCTGCAGGAGACAGTCCTGTCCCTCAGTGCACACAAGTGTAAAGAGGCACAGCAGACACAGGAGAATGACATGGGGCAACTTAAAGTGGTACCACAAGGTTATGACAGGAAGTGGATTTAATTTGGTTGGGTTTTCTATGTTCAGGTTCTCCAGTTTTATTTGAGAGTTAGTTCTACACTGAGATTCACAACTACCATCAGCTCAACTGCTGCAAAACACTCGTGTGTGTCGTTGCAGATGGGCAAATCAGGGAATATTGGCTTGACAACAAAAATTTTATTAGTACCATCAGCTATAATAAACCACAGTCATCCTACACACCAATAAAGATGACGTGCAATAAAGATTAGGTAAGATGCTTTGAATATACTGCAGAAATATTACTGATGAGTTTCTTGTGTGGGTTTGTGTCTGATGTGCAAAGATTTAACGAAATATGACAGTACCTTCCCAGTGAGGGATCAGTGAACTTGGAGCCTTGAGGGGAATGCAAGGAGAAGCAAGACAGAGAACTAGCTTCCATGGGGAAACAACTAGTTTTATATATTGATTCCAGTGTTTCACTGTCACAGAGGAACCTCTGGGAAACTCTTAAGGAAAACAAAGGAGAAAAGAATTTCTGGATCTGAATTTAATCACATAATATCATGCAGTGCAATATCAGGAGAACTAGTATGCAGCCTCCCAGCTGTGTTACCACCAGCCTTCAGCTGATGAGTCTATAAGAGCAACCAAAGCAGAGAAGTTTGACTGCCTGCAGTGAAGTGGAGATTTGGGAAAGCTCTTAGGAAACAGCCTTCAGTGGTAGCAAAATGTTTCAGTGATGCCAAATTCCTGGCTTAGAGGAAAAAACGCCAGGATCCCTGGTAGGCACTAAAACCTGCATCAGATTGATCTTCTTAATCCTTGGGAGGCAAGACCTTTTAGTTCAAAGGCCCCTACTCCAGTGGAGATCACAGTTTTGCTGGAAAGGGCCACGGATACCCTCTGTGAAACATCTCCATGCACATGCATTATGTCAAGCTGCTTTGCATAATGTGAGAAGAGAGGAAAACCTTTTTGCCTAAACCTCAAATTTGCTGATGCTTGACTTTACTGCAGTTTTCAGAACGCAAAACTGAAATTTCTTGGTTTCACCTGAATCTTAAGAAGAGGAACTTACCAGAATCCTATTAAAAAAAGGTTGTTTTCATCATATTTTCACCAAGACTAACTCAGGCTCTATCATAAATCACAAAGGAGGATGAGCTTCAAAGAGATTTATGGCATTATTGGCAGTGGATCAAGGCTGGCCCTGTGACCTTCCCCAGACATGTGGAAGTGAGAGGATGTCAGGCCATCAGTTGCTTTATCCTCTGATTCCAGGACTGGGGAAAAAACAATGACAGTGAGTTGTGTCTAAAACCCTCCAGTCTGGCTGTCAAAGAGGGAAACAGTTACTTTAAAAGTTGCAGAAGTAACTGAGAATAAGAGGCCACAGTGGTTATTTTCTTTGGAGTTATTCACACACTTGAATTTTTAAATGCTGCTGCACTGGGAAATATGAATTTCCCCACTGAAGAAGGCAGCAATACTCAGTAAATATAGAACATTTGATCCACTCAGGACAATAGTAAAAGCACAGACTAAAGCTAGTTGGCTGTGAGAAACTGCTCCTTTCGAACTTATCCCAGCATATCCTCATGGTTCTTTTCACTTGCATATTCCTGGTCATTTTCTGCATGGATTTCTGTCCGCTACATCTGTGGCTTCATTCATGCTTCTTTACTTCAGTTACATTGGTGGAAAACTGAGTCTTCCCTGTGAGCTGTGTACTTTCTCCAAAAGCTCCCCCCTAAAGTAGGGCTACTCAATCTGCCTTTGCTTATTTATGAGGTTCTGTGATTGCTACCTATAATTTCTTCCTGGAGTCTGTCTATGAATATCTGTAATAGGCATCCAGCCCAACAGATACAGAGCTGATTTTACAAAAGTATTTTTTTCCTATGTGGATGACTTATTTTGCTGGATTGGGTCTTTTTTGCCAAAGTAACTTATTTCTATAAGCACAACCTGTCACATATGTATATCCTGAGAACAGCTCAGCTGTGAATGTGATTAAATGTTTTACACAGTGAATGTTGCTGAACAGATTTAGTGAACTATCTTATAACTACTGAGTTCTCTGATTCCTTATGATCATTGTTATGACATATATTGATATCAGGAATTTTACACATTGTGACTTTTAAAGATGAAATATTGCCGCTGTGATTTGCCTCTCCATATGCAACCTGTCACCAAGAGCATGCTCTAGTGTTTGATCACAAACCAAGTATTAACCGCTCAGCATGACCACAATTCTAGCTAGGCAGATCTTGAAAGATGCCATGCATCTTTCATGATTCTTCAAAGTGAGCAGAGGCTTTGGTTACTCCTGCTTGGATAAGAAATGAAAGTCTAAGAATACCATGCAGCTGTCATAACCTCTGGGCCAAAGAGTGTATTTATAACCTGGCTATTCTGCCTTGCTCCTAACCCTAGCCAAAATTCCTAAGAGGAAAACAGCTTTTTGGGAATCCAATCCATTCAGAGCTCCGGGCAGTTTCGGACCAAGTTTCGGAGAAAAATTATCAAGTTTGTTCTTAGTCAGATGAGCAATCTCTGTCCTGAGACTCATCAATTACTGCCTTCTTTCATGCTGTATCAGTTCACAGTGGCTACCAACAGAAGAAGAAACATTTGTCTTAAGTGCCTACCCAGACTATAACTCTTGATCCACTTTCACAAGCAAACCCCTGCCTTTTCCAACAGGGAGATGAGGGGAGCCTGGTGAGAAATGAAGACCTCAGCTCAGTAAATACAGTTTCCATTCAAAACATTCATTCTATGATTCTATGACTAAAACGTGCAATCACTCTCCCTGTTAATGCTCACATCAGAGACTGATCTGCTCTTTTGTCCCTAGAGGTCACTGCAAAGCAGAATTAAAGTGCTAAGGCAGCGTGGGGAGATGAGCAGGGACCTTGGCTCTATCTTCCCCCCTATTCTTCCATTTACCTGCTTTCTTTACTGGCACTGTGCTGCTAATTCTCACAGTCTGGTTTTAGTTTATTCGGTGGAACTCTTTTTTATATTGTATTTATTACAAGTAACATAAAGAAACATACATGTGTGGCCATATGCTTATAAATATCATGTGTTCCTCCATACCCCCTCCATGGCTATCAACAGGTAGCTACATGAGACATATTTTGTTCAGAATGGGCTAAGTTTTCTTCTGTTTATGAGCTGCTCAAAGTTAGCATCACTGTAGGGCTGGGATGCCTTGGGTCACAGCAAAGGAGTAGAAAATTGAATAGGTCAGTCAGGGAGTTACTTAATCATTTTAATTCACTTTAAGTTATTTGTATGAATGAAACCATCTGCAAGAGAATCAGACTCACAAACCACAGATGTGTCAGCAGAGAATTGTAGTCAGCCGCACACTTCCAACAAGCTCTTGTTGGATGATAGTTGTAACAGAGCTTTAAAGCCTACTAAATACGAACCATTTAGATACAAACATTTAGGATTCTTCCAGGATTAGTGACAGCTTAAGGCATGACAGTGAAGATGTTTATAAGCTTTCTTCTAAGACAGGAGATCTGCAGTAATGCAGCCAATTATCCTCATCCGACTTTCATTTCAACTTTTCTTACCTGCTTTACCCTCTCATCTCTTTTTGGCCTGAGATCTGTGGCAGCTGTTTCTTATGACCACAGAGTGGTAACATCACATCCCATCTTCAACACGAGCTGTCCACAGAGTATTTAAACCAAAGCAGCCAGAGTATCTGCTTAGGCCATTGGCCATGGACATAACTCTGCCAGATTTCCAGCTAAAGCATGTGGGACACTGGGCTAGAGATGCAGACAGCAGTTAGAAGACAACTTCAGACAGAGTCTGAGATGGAACCGAGTTCTCAATGAAATGGATAAATCATTTACATTTTAAATATTTATTCAGCAGAACCCATTTGCTAATGCTGCTTTCCTCAGGAAAGCAAGTATTTCCTCCCATACTGATGGAGGATGTTTTTCTGCTGTCCACTGATGGCACTGACCAACCAAAGTCAGTTGCTGGAGTTATGCATGTTCCAGACAGAATACAGACACCACTTCACCAAATGGAGTGGCTTATTATTGTAAACTGTGAGATAACCCAGCTGTGCTGTCCAGCTGACATTGAAACAAGGGTACATGGGTTATATGCACGGGGTTATGGCACTGAAATACAGCAGGCTGGGAATTACTCATGTGAAGGGAAGATATATAATTTAGGATACTTAAAGGTCTGGGAGAAGATGTGGGAACATCCCTGGCAGTGTTCAAGGCCAGGTTGGACAGGGCTTGGAGCAACCTGCTCTAGTGAAGGATGTCCCTGCCCATGGCAGGGGTTGGGGCTGGATGAGCTTCAATGTCTCTTCCAACACAAACTACTCCATGATTCTGAGAGGGCTTATATCCACATTATGTTTGACCAAAGGAAGCAGTCTGCTGCTTCTGTTAGCTGCACTGTAGTGATACATGGAAGCATCAGTGAAAAGAAAAAAGGGGTGGGGTGGAGGGGGGAAGAGATGAAAAAAAATACCACAAACAGAAGCAAAAGCAGAAGAGAGAAACATGAGTGTCAGATGTTAGCAGATAAAGAAGAATTGAACATCAGATCCAGAAGTCTTTTGTGGCACCAAAGACCATGCTATGAGCAAGATAAAAGAAGAAAACCATGAAATACTTTTTGCATGCAATAGCAGCTGGCACCAGAAAAGCACCAGAAAAGATGACTGAGGAAAGGGAGCATCAGCGGCACTTCATAAATACCCCCTGATTCACAAGTGCTGAAGTAATGACTGAGACACAAGTCAGATGTACTTTTCCCACCCCATTTGTCCTCTGGGTTTTTTTTAGTTGTAGGAGATTACTAAAATAATAATATGAAATCTTTAAAATCCCTTTTATCTCTTCCTACCTTCTACATGCCCTACTAATGAAAAAGGTGAGTTTGTTTTCAGCTCATACACACGGGTATGAAAACACCATAGAGAACTTCTGGAAGATTACTCACTGCTGTGTCTGCCCTTTAGGGACTGAGCCAGCTGATGGGGCCAGTTACAGTTACAGCTTTTAATTACTGAATAATGAATATCATTTCCAGATCATTCATTCCACTCAGGTGTGGATTCAATAACCTTTTAAACAGACAATTATTACCACACTGAACCAATACAGTAAAAGAAGGATCACGGTTACAGTACAACCCTTAATCTTTAATTAGAGACATAACTTCTTGCTGCAAAAGACCTTCTCTGACCTTCAGCAAGTAACTTTTGATTTCTTTGTTCCTATTTCTAAGGAGAGCATAGTAGCACTTTCTTACCTCAGAGGGGTGCTGTAAGTATCCAAACATTACATATTTGAGCTACGCTGTAAGTATATTCAAGTGGGTATCACCCACTTTATATTCCCATCACTTATAAATATTGTATCGCCTATAAATTTTAAAGTTATAAAGTTTTACATTCTCTCTGCAGAGAGAATTAGGCATTTTCCTGTCAGTTATGTAGATTTACTTTACTGTTTCCTGCTCTTCTAATATCATTCTTTTATCTACCAGACCACACTGAAAAGTAAAATATATGTGACTGTGAGACCTTTCCATGGTTTGAGAACACACGACAGATGAAAATAGAGCAATTTCCTAAAAGTGCCAAGAGAATTTTTCATCTTCACTTTCTAAAGAAAGATCACATTAAATATTACCTCTTTCTGTATAGAAATCTTCTCATGCACTTTCAGTGAAAATTACTATTTTCTCTCAAGGGAACAGAAGAAAAGAAAACAAAACAATACAGGTTTTCATGAGTGCAGTGTAGGCTGAATTTCAGCACATTTACTCAACTCTCAGATTAAATTATCTGTCCTATAAATCAGTTGAGAAAGAGTGCTTAAAACATGTAAGGGGTAATACAGAGAAAACGAAACCTCAGACAACAGCTATTTTTCCATCCTATAAAAGCAGGCTGAAAGTCACAGCTTTCTGCAGTCAAGCTATAGTCAAGTGCCAAGGCAAGGGTAATGCTCAGCAGAAGCCAAAGGCAGTTCATTGCCTCAAGCCACAGTCCTGCCCAAAATCTCGTTTCAAAGCAGACATCTGCAGGATTCCCCTCTGTGTCCGGCTTAGGAAGCAGAGCTCAAGATGCAAGGAGCAGGGCCAGGTCGGATGGGGCTTGAAGCAAGCTGCTCTAGTGGAAGGTGTCCCTGACCATGGCAGGGGGTTGGAACCAGATGAGCTTTAAGGTC